GTGGGGTCTTTGCTTTATACAATAACCCTCCAATCTTTCCACTCTTCCCATTTTGAGGATGTCACCTTTTCAGGGCTCCTGCATCAAACAGAGGAGGTCCTGATGTCCTTTGGTTACGGTGGAGGCGTCCCAAGTATCTGCAGAAGACAAACTGAGATTTTGATGAAATGCAGCCACTCAGTGGCATGTTAATTAGTGCCTGGTTTGAATCAGTCACCATGACCACCAATTTAGCATGAGGTTGACAGCTAAGCACAAAATCTTTGACGATGTTGACACCCGCACTTTCAAGGGTCAAAATAGCTAGATTTTTACTAAGGGACAAAATCAGGAAGCAAGCTTCACTGCACACCAGTCATGAAGGTTAGAAATTATTTTTTGCAGCAGTTACAGTACTGCTTTGCTCATTTCAGTTACAGAGTTAAACCCAGTTAATGGGTTTAACCTTTTATGCTGGTAAAAGTGAGGACTTGTTGTTGTGAACCAGGCCATATATGGCATATACATTAAAATAAAAGCATTTTTTGTTTTTATTCTTAACATTTTTTGTCTGTCAGTTGAATGAAACCTGCACTTTCACAGTTAAGAATACAGCACATCTGCAATACGATTCTATTTTAAAAATTAGAAGTATATCATTTAAAATCAGTTAGATGCATATTTCTAATGCAAATCTGCTTTTCAGTTTAATATCTTCCAGAGTAAAAATGTATGTGTGTATGTGGGGGTGGGCAGATACAGCCAGTATGTAACCTGACACGCTTGTACAAATGGTTTTTTTCTGTGCGGGGTCAGCCAATCTGCGACTCTCACCGGCCTGCTGCTGTGACAGAAAGCCCAGCGGAGGAAGCCCCCATGGCGCCCCCCGGTGAGGGGGAGGATAACTGCGGTTTAGCGGGGCAGCATCGTGGTTTTGAAGTGCCTTCAGACATGCGGCGAGGCGCCTCATTACCGCGGCTGCCGGGCATGAGGCAGCTGCTATGCGGGAGGTGAATGGCAGGTATGTGAGCACCACAGGGATGCAGCCTGCCAGCGACTGGCAGGGGGGGGGGGCTGTGCCCTTGCACAATGGGCTCCCGGAATCTGCCAGGGTCTCCATGCCCCTCCAACACTCGTGCAAGTAACTAATTAAATTTCAGGTAATACAAATAAATAAATACATATAAGTCCTCATAAAGTAAATTTATGGTTAAAGGGTGTTTAAAGAAAAAACTGCATTCATCAAGTTGGAATTCAAGCTTGAACCAATTATCCCTGGGCTGTTGCATAGATGACTTGGTTAGCTGAAATCCCCAGCAGATCAATTCGATCAACTTTTGTAGGAACGCAGCGAGTAGTTATGCAGTGAGTAGTTATGCAGTGGTGTACAATACAAAGCCACCAGCCACCAAAGTAACATTTTACTGTTGTATCCACAAGAGGCCATAATATTAAGGGTCATATCTGTTAAAGAAATGACATCAGAAGAGTTTATCTACTGACAAATAATTGACCACTGTAAGGAATCTGAGAATTTCTGGTCAAAAAAATGGGTCTTGTATGTTCCTTTGGACAAATAAAATATTCTGCTAAATAAAATAAATATAACAGAAATGTGAATTTAAAATGATGCACTCCATTTTCTTCACATAACACTGTGACATATGAAAGGTTATCTGGCACTAAAAAATATAATTTTGAAATATTTCACATTTTCCTGACACTTTTAGCCAGAGTGACTATATTTTACCTCCAGCACAGCGAAGTGAAGGTCTTTCAAAAGGCAAACCTTCACATGACAAAGAGATGCGGCGGAAAATATAACAGGAACACCTAAGAATGTATTAGCATTAAGTCCTGAGGTGTGTATAATGGGTTATAAGGCCATTCTTCAAAAGGTTATGCCTCTGGTACTCAGGGATCAAGGAAAGAGAAATCTGCACTCTGTTCTTCAACTTGGTGTTGAGGAAATGTAAACTTGTGTATAGGAATATGTATCTGCGCAGAACAGTGTCTGCACCATAGTACGCATCTGATCCTGTAAAACAGCTTCCAGTTCCTTGACTGTTATACATCGACGCAGAGTAAACATCAGACCTAATGACTCACATGAGACGGCTGCCCTTACGATTACGGATCCCCCACTATGTTTACGTTGACAACAGACACTGTGATTTGAAGGCATCTCTTGGTTTATTCCAAACATAAACCCATTTAGATATAGGGAAAAACGTAAGACCATCATTATTGCACAGGAATCCACATTTTGTGATCCTTATACCAGTTTACGTCTTTGTGCTTTGGCCTTGAATACAAACACCCCTGTGAAGCTGTTAATTGGCATTCTGCCTAATCTAACTCACCTTTGTAGCTATAATGGTGATTCAGTTACAGTAAAGTTTAATTTCATGTGGATTTTCCATTGTTTTGTCCGCCACCTGTATATAACAACAGAGTGATTCAGGTTATTATTTGAAAATAGAATTCTTTAGAACAAAGAGGTATTGTGGTGGATAAGAAAGCGGAAGGTGACCCATTTGTGCACAGTCCATCGGCACCCCCTGTTGTGCACAGTCCATCGGCACCCCCTGTTGTGCACAGTCCATCGGCACCACCTGTTGTGCACAGTCCATCGGCACCGCCTGTTGTGCACAGTCCATCGGCACCCCCTGTTGTGCACAGTCCAGTAAAGTTTAATGAGCCATTTCACAGTGCCTCATGGGGGCGGTTGTCACCTCCCCCTTCCAGGGCTGTGTCCCCATCTTCGTGTGTTTGTGCTTGCATATTGTCTGCTCATTTTCATATTGGTTTTCTCCCACAGAGCAAGGAGGTGCTGTCATGGTGACCGAAACCTGCCTTGACTATGTGACGCAAATCCCTGCTTGATCCTGAAGAAAAAGAGAAGGATGGAACGGTACAAATCGCTGTCATGGAAACACAGTGATGCTTTGCAAAAATCTCCCAGATGTGGAATAAAACTAAAATAAATGTAACCTTTCATTTCTTGTGAAAGGTCCCTTAAAAACAATGCATTAAACAGGCCTGCAAATGCACAATTTAATGCTTCAGCTAATCTGCATGTCTGCACCCCAGGCAGCGCATGCACTGCTGTGTACGTGTGCTGATGTCATGCACTCACTGACCTTTTCCTTCTCACTTTCCCTGGCTTCCTGTCCTCCCCCATTGATCTCCTCCCTTCCTCTATCTCTCTCACTTCTTCCTCCCACATAAAGAGACTAAAATATAGCCCAGGGTCTCAGGTTCAGAAGGTCCTGCCAAAACTGTCTTGCCCAGGGGCTCCTTCAGCTCCGGCAGACCAGCACAGTCAACCAGGCACTTCATCAGCCTCTCTTTCCTTTTCTTTTTTGGATAAGGAAATCTGGGTTATTATACAAATAAACTTTGATTTAGTTTTTGAACTGGTGCATTTGAATGTTCTTAATAGCACATTTAAAACTTCAGGAATTATACAGTTTTACAAAATGGCAATTCTTAGGGTTATTCATTTTTTTATATTGCACATCAATTGATTGTTCAATATCTGAAATTTCAGAGAAGAATCAGGACAAAATCTTCTCTTTCCAGATGCTTTTTTGCACATCCAAACCTTGTTGTTTGAAAGTGGCCAGGATGTGACCCTCTCATTTCTTCACCTCCATCTGATTAATCCAGTCTAAATGACTGTAAATCATTTGCTTTCTCACCTTGAGTTGTAGATCTTTTTAATGATGTCATTCTTTCATGTAAACATCAACACAATACCACTGAAATTGCAGGTTATTGTGTAAAGATGAAACACCTATTTACACTTTTTATAATTATACTGCATTCCTAGTAATGGTGGTCATGGTGACTGATCCAAACCAGGTACTCTTGAGACAATTAAGCTCTTTGTAAAGCACCAAATATCATACATGATATGGACAAAAGTATTGTGACATCGGCCATTACACCTACAGGAACTTTTATGACATCCCATTCTAAATCCATTGGCACCAATATGGAGTTGGTCCCTCCTTTGCACCTATAACAGCTGCCACTCTTCTGGGAAGGCTTTCTACAAGACCTTGGAGTGTGTCTGTGGGAATTTTTGACAGTTTATCGCGAAGAGCATTTGTGAGGTCAGGCACTGATGTTGGATGTGAAGGTCTGACTTACAATCTCTTTTCTAGTTCATCCCAAAAGGGTTCAGTGGGGTTGCGATCAGGGCTCTGTGCAGGCCAGTCAGCCATGGAAGCCCATTCCATGAAGCTCAGTTTTTGTGCTGCGGTTCATGGCAGAAGTAGTTTGGAACTCTGCAGATACTGAGTCAACAGAGCGTCGGTGACTTTTACATGGTACACAGCACTTGGCGACCCTGCTCTGTTACTTCACGTGGTCTTTCAGTTTCTTGTTGTTCCCAAACACTTCCACTTTGCAATAATAATACAGTTGACTGTGGAATTAGCAGTGAAGAAATTTCACAAAGTGACTTATTGCAAAGGTGGCATCCAATTACAGTACTAGGAACAAACAGTGCTTACACTGGTATGGGGAGATAGTCTTTGCTGACCACTCTTGAATTCACTGAGCTCTTCAGAACAACCCATTCTTTAGTGATGGCCAAATGAAGCTTCACAAACCACTTGCTGTATTTCCTGACCCCACTAGATGGTGCTCTCTGTTCAAAAACAAGGGCTCAAAGCATGTCCCAAAGAGAATCAAGATCACCATCTAGTGGTGCAAAAAAATGCAGCACATGGTTCATGATGACCTTCATTTAGCGATAACTACCATTCTTTCATGGATGTTTGCAAGCCTAACTGCATGGCTAGGTGCTTGATTTTATAACCCTTTGGCAATGGGTCTGAATGAAACACCTGAATTCAATAATTAGAAGGTATGTCCCAATACTTTTGTCCAAATTGTGTATTTAAATATTTGTATTTAGGTTTAATTATGAGTAAACATGTGTTTCCCTTGAAGTAATCTTTCCCCATGAACAAATAGTGGCAATAGTAGAACAAATTTTAAGGAACAGATTAGGTTACTGAAGGGACAAGTTTATAAGTTCATTGTATAAACAGAGCACAGAAAAGTGCACTTTTGATGTGTGTACACAGTGTTATTAATACAAATTCTAAATCCCACACAAGCAGATCTAATGCCTGGCCAGTTAAAAATCATTACCGAAATTCTATAAACATTTCATTAGAAGTGAAATATCACTTAGGGAATAGGTTGCAGTATGTTCTTCATTTTGATCAGACGGATGAAAAGCCATGGATTTTTGTGCTCATTCAGGTCTCATAAATGCCCCCAAGTCCAATCAGAAGCCCAGGTGAGAGGATGCAGTTCATTGATCCAAAGGTCCAGGAAATTTTCAGTGTCTGATGCTTGTTCCTAAAAACACTCATTTCTAAATTGCAAACATATTAAAAATATATATATCTTTATTTTTACAGCACCCAAACATATTGTCATATTGTGGTGAGAATGCAGAGGTATCTTTTCAATTTGTTCTCAAGTATACTTATGTTACACAAATATCCAGAACTATTTATATGTATTTATTCCCACACATCCATCATTTAACCATCTATCAGCTAATAATACTACCTACAGGAAACTGCAGGATTATACACGACATGTTCATATATTGATTTTGGCTTCTTATTTACAAATCACAAAACATCCATGTAAAGAGCCTTGGGATGACTCTGTTGTGAAAGGTGCTATATAAAAATAAATTGGATAAATTGAATTTCCCTGATCAAAGAACAGCACAGCGATCCAGCCAAGCTGCCCCTGAAACGAGTAGCTCCAGCTCACAGCCGGGAGGTGCGTGTCGTCAGGGTGGAGCCAGTGGGTTTTGGGGTGGTACCAAAGGAAGGTCCAGGGAGGGGCACCAGATGCTTGTACTTGGGTGTGATGGTGACGAGCACGGCAGCGGAGTGGGGGTCGTGGAGGATGATGCGATGCAGTGCGTCGCCCTCGGCCTGCAGCTCCTCCAACCTCTGCTCTTTGCGCAGGATGATGTCAATCTGCTCTGAGCTGTCTAGGCCATCTGGGTACAGCACATCACCTGACCCCGGGGGGGGGGGGGGCGCACATTTTTATGTTTAAAAAAATGCATCCAGTAATGAAGTTAAAACAGTTCTGGCTGTAATGTATTCATTATTCCCTAGAGATTAAAATAATGTCAAGTGTTTCTATTCTGGATATGTTCTGAACAATGCATCATCACAAAATGAAAAAACTGCCTTGGTAGGGCAAGGGTTCAGTGATCTTATTCAGAAAGGGCCGTTATGTGTGTGGGTTTTCGCTGCAACCCTTTAATAACATTACTAATTAGAGGACTGATTGGCTTTAATGTTCTCACACCTGGGTTTGAACAGCTGACATAAAAGTCATCCCAAAAACCCACATCCACACTGGCTCTTTGCAGATAAGATTGGCCACCCCTGTAATACAGTGCACTTACACAAACCTAGATGGTATAGCCTACTACACCTAGGCTATAAGGCAGTGTTTCCCCAAAACTTAGTGTTTTTGTACTAGGTCTGATTTTGCCACCTCGAAGACCTAACCAAGGCATCGCAGCGCGCCCTGGGCATGCGGCCACACCTGGCAGCAGGGAAACGAGGCAGTCCTTGGACACTAGGCGTATGGGCAGCCAGCGCTCACAGCCCTCCAGTCCCCGAACTGCAGCAAAGCTGTGCAGCTCCTGCAGCCGTGGGAAGCGGCACATGCGGCTTAGGTCGTAGAACTGTGGGGGCGCTATCCAGAACTCCCGGGCCTGATAGCTGTGCAGCACCTCCGAGGGCGTCGACCACTGCGGGGCAGACCGAGAGGGACAGTGAAGCGCCTCTGATTGTTGCCTAAGACTGCTGGGTCAAAACAAACAGTCCTGACATTACTGACTCTCACTCAAGTATAAATAAAGGTGACTACAACACACACGAAAGATTTTTAAAGCAGCACCCATTACTAATAACCAGGGACGCACATGACTGGTACGCATTTGTCGTACAAAGCGATATGCGCAGCAATTTCTTGGTGTATCAACGCAGAGGCACATAAAACAAGAACAAGAAATTACCATTCATACAACAAATCAAGTACGCCTTAGGCATAAAAAGTTTAAATGCACGGTAATTTCTTGTCATAACAGCGCAAAAGCGTACTTGTCTTATTTGCGTTGTCACGTCAAGAAATTGCTTCATGCACCAAACGCGTACTTGCGTATGAGTTACGTGCATCTTAATGCCCACAAGGCTGTATTGGAAGGCATGGGTGGACAACTTCACCAAATTCGATCAACAAGAAGCAACAGAAAGCGGTATACTATCCGCTTCTTTTTTCCCACGGGCATTCTGACATTATACCAATGAGCATGCAACACGGGACTATTTAAGCCTTAACCACAACAACAGAGTAAGTGGTTTTAAGCAAAAACGTGAAAGAGTAAGTGTCACTTCCCATTTTGCCCGGACCATTTCAAGTGACTCCCGTTAAAGGTATATATTTTGTGCTTTTAATCCAGAAAACATGAAGGGCCTACAGGCCCAAGGAGAGAAGCAAACGAGTCACCTTAAAATGCACAATTTCCTTTTCGTCCTGGATTGTCTCAGGGGCTTCTGGCAGGCAGCAGATGAAAAATGCGGTGTCGTACCTCCTCTGCTGCGCGTAGACGCCGCCGGGGGTCAGCCAGTTGCCCCACTCATGTAGGGCCCATATGTTGGGCATGCACCGCAGGGTCTCACACATCCGGATGAAATTGTCAGGATTTTCCATCACCAGCAGCCTCCACCGGGCCAATTCCTGCGTGTCCCAGGGCTGAACGGTCTCCGTCAGCGCCGGCGGGACCTGCTCGCCGGTCCGAACGGCGGACTCCGCCTCTTCCTTCATAGGCACAGCCAGGAGTACGCCGGCTTCCTCGAAGGTCTCCCTAACAGCGCATATCCTGAAAGCCACCTCCCCGGGAATGGGGGAGCCCAGCTCGGACCTGTCGGTGGCGAACATTGGAGGTCTCGTCTCGGGCGGCTGCCTGACGACTCCCAGGCCGAAGTTCGGATAGCGGCGAAACGCCTGGAAGACTCCCTGCCAGTCGGCGGAGAAATCCGACGGATCAACCAAGCCGCCGGGAAAGACGTACGCGTTGGGCATGAAGCCGCTTTTGCTGCTGCGCTTCAGCAACAAGACCTCGTAGTCAAAGGCCGACTTGTGGGGCCACAAGGGTGGGCTGCCAGCCGGTAAAGGCGGCGGGGAGACGGCGCGCATCAAGACTTCATCTCCCGCTGGCCTTCTGCGTCTCACTCCAGCAGCTAAGATGACGGTGGCCGCCTCCTTCCAGTGTTTTAATGCGGTGTTCATCTGGGCTTCACCAACACAGGGACGTCAATCACCCCTCTTGCTAAACTCCGTACAATATTTCAGATGTCACGGGGGATTTGTTTTGACAGAGGAGTTGAACGGAAACACCAAAGACATCCTCCAGATAAGCTCCCCGGACCGATGGAAACACCGATCATGGTGCTGCCACCTACTGACTAGGATGATAAAATACAGGCCGACTGATAATTAACTGAACATGATGTCTTTCCTGGGTGTCTCCTGCCTCGTACTACACGTTTCCGGAGAGGTTCCCGGCTCCCTGCAACCGTGTACTGAATAATGAGTTAGGAGATGGATGAATCATCTTTTTGAGCACAAAAACAGTTGTGCATTATATATTAATTTGCAATTTTTTCAAACACATTATCAATGTCAACTGTAGAGTTATTTGTTGTGCCTTTTAAAAGATGTATTTTAGGCTGGACTGAGAAGCAGCCGTAAATAGTAGGGGCAGTTAACCAGACCCAAAATCCTAAATAAATGTTATGTAAGAGCTAAGTCTGTAAATCTGTACTGTATGAAAAGAAATATTTGTGGGTACAGTAATAGCTTTAAACAAAATATGGCTTTGAACTAGAAAACTAGGATTTGTGAAAATGACATTTGCCCTGAAATTCCCCAAAGGCACAATTATTTAAGCTTAGTGTCACATGGTCACTTGGCACGGTTTCTTTGGAGCCCTGCTCCATTTTCTTCTACAAAGTGGTTTCGCAAAAGCAGTTCATGTTCGAGGATTGAATGTAAGGATGTAATTTTATGCCTTTGCTGCATACGCTGGGATCTCATCTCAAGCATGAGAAGCTGAGAGGTGTTAAATTTAAGGGAGAGAGGGTGAAACGGCACTCCAGAAAGAGACAGCTTCATTGTTTCCCCAGTCACCACTAACAGGGCTCTTTAAGCCACCTATTTATTGTTTTGACCAAACGCTATACTGGGAAGAGGTTAGGAAATCTTATACAGCTAGCCAACGACACAGATCACATTTAATATGCAATTGTATTAAAACATTTTCCGGAATGTTTTGAGCTGACCAGCAATCATTATTTTCTTCAGTTATTATTTGTGATAATGCAGTTCATTCCTCATTTACACTTAAATACATCTGTAAATGGACACAAATAAAAAACAATGATTTACTGCAATACCACCTTGTTTGCAGATTGTACTGGAGAGAGCACTAAAACTTCTCAAACTCTGAGAAAAATGACACACAAGGAACATGGTCCAAAATATAATTAATTATAAATCAACATGCCCAATTTTAGGAAATTACAAATGTTTAATATTCCCATTGCCAGTAACACAGTGACCAGTCAAACTGGATGACAAGTTTTAAAACTGAATAATTAAACACATAATGTAACAGATGGCTTTATGCCTCCCCTTTCAAGAAAAAACCACCCTGAACATCCCCGATAACAAAGGCATTCTAGTACAACTCGTACCCTTGTTAAATAATTTTTATCAAAATAATACATGTGAGCCTCAGTTATTAAATCTGTAGCATTTCTTAGTGCTGACTGAGAAACACCAGAAAGAATTACTTTAAAAGAAGCCAAGAAACATCAAAAGGTATAAATATATTTCTATCACCACATCAAAATGATACACTATGAATTATGAACGGTCTGTTAATCAAGTCATATGTTGCAGTTCAACAGCTTCCCCTTATGTCATAACCCAGATGAATAAATGACAGAAAACAGATCCCTGAATTAAAAAAGACAGAAGAAAAAAATACAGTGTAATATTCACTACACAGGCTAATAAAACTAATTGTATTTACTGTACATTAGCTATGCATTAATGTAAGGGATGAAATGAATTATCAGTTATTTGTAAGTAAATTTATATTAGTAAGATTTCAGTCCAACAATATTAAGCATCTCTGATTCAGCAGCTATGTATGATTATCATTCTCTCATTTCCTCTGTCATCGTGTGACTTTCTGCAGTCCATAACGAGAGGTGTGGTTCACATGCTTTATGAAATTCTTTCAACAGCTTGACTGAAGCACGTATATGTACATGAATTGCGAAAAGATCCTTTCTTGTAGAAGTTCCTTGGCCATTTCTACTTGCCTTCCTGTCACTGTAATTACAAATGTCTGTCTACACTTTTCCCACCTCATTCAGTCTTTTCTGGTGGAACTACTTCCATTAGTAGTTGAAGGTACTTGGTAACGGGTCCTGTAGAGGGAAAGGTTTTTAGGTTAATGGTGCTAACATTTAAGCTAAACACTGGTTCAAATGACAATAAACTTGCAGTTTAAAACCTTTGGTAACATTAACAGCACCTTCATAATGCATTCATTATGCAATCATAGAACACTGAGTGGACCTTTATAATGCATTCATTATGCAATCATAGAACACTGAGTGGACCATCATCATGTATTTATAATACATTTATAGAACATTCATAAGCAGTATGTCAGTATACCTTAAAAGTCATAAAAACATTGCATTCATAATACTGCTAATGAACAAGGCATGACAACTGTAATATACATTAATAACAAACATTATAATCATATAATCATAATGTTTGCTATTAATGTGTATTAAAGCTGTTAAGATATGTTATGATAGTACAGTATACTTACATGCTGCTTATGAATGTTCTATGAATCATAGCTGTCAAGTCTCCCGTTTTGGCTGGGGAACTACCGTATTTTACCCCTCTTTCCCGCCGTCCTCCCACATTAGTATTTTCCCGTAAATCTCCCGTATTATAATATAATTAAAAACAAATTCCTCTGCCTCTCCAAACTGAACTGTCAGTAGCCTCGCGAGAACTGCCACCTGCTGTAGCCTGCAGGTCATTTACAACATTAACCAGGTCATAAATGCGGAGGTTAAAATGACAATGCTGTGTGCGAAGAACACCGTTACTTTCACCTTCTGTGACGACTTCAACAAGGATACAAAGTCTGCAACAAATCTGTATAATAAGTCATTAGTGAATGCCAGAGAGCCACATGCGTGAACATGAGAAATTAAAAGAAAATGTGTAATGAAAATAGAATGTAAATGACAAGTGGTTATTTTAGATTTCTTCTACACCTGTCTTAAAATGTAAGGGATACAGGAGCTTGGTTGGGGTGGTGGGGCGTTTCGCGGCGGGTGCTGGAAAATTTACCTTATTTTCAAATCCAAAACTTGACAGGTATGCTATGAATGCATTACCAATGCATTATGAAGGGGGACTGAATGTTCTATGAATGCATTACCAATGCATTATGAAGGGGGATTGAATGTTTTATGAATGCATTATAAAGGAGTTAATGTAATGCGTTACCAATCCGTCTAACTAAGCAATTAAAAAAATATTTTAGTTTTTTTACATATATTTTTCCTAGAAAATGGTTCCTAGAACTGTTGTAGACTCTTTTCTGTTACTCTTAATAATGCTTACATGGTCTATATCATTACACTGGTCTATGTATTTACATATTTCTACATTTTACAAAAAACATTTCCAATACCACATTTAGGTATTCTTAAGAGAACACACTCATCAACATAAACACTAACCTTTGAGTTTAGGAGAATCAAAATGAATTCAAAATTCAGAAAATTAAAATGAGTGTCAATTAACAAAAGAATATCAGAATTTTCATTCAGGTAATTACTATTATCAGTTTTATTGGAGTAATTTAGTAATATTGCTTGGCAGTATCTCCAATAAGTTGATAGCCACCAGAGGTTTGTGCTTTTTGTCCTTCTACAAAAAGAAATGTCAGTGTTCTCACAGAGACATTATAAAACAAGGAACACTGAATCTTATGTTTGTGAACAGCAAATGCTCTGCAAAGATAAAATAGCTCTAAGTGTCCTCCCTGATATGGATTATCTGCTCAGCCTAAGTTAAAAAATAATTACATGTGCATTTTTTATATATATTCTCTGCTCCTATTGGCATTGACCAGCAGAACATTTGCTTTAGTGATAGTTGTATCCATAAGTTTTTAGTTTGCTTATTATTTCAGCTGAGTATTTCAGACTATTCAGATCTGTTACTTAATCCTACTGTCTGACAGCACAGGCAAGTGAGTGTTCAGCTAATGACAGGACAATGACGGAGTATTTAGAGGCGCAATGTGTAGGATGACTGGACAATAGGCGCTTTCACACCAAAGTTCTGGAACCTGGTCCCGGTTTGGCTGTCTCAACCAAGGACTTTTGTAACTTTTGTGTGTCACTTGCACGCCGCGCAACAGGAACTGGGACCGTTACATTAAATAATCATGGAAGACGCAAAAAGTTCGTAGGTTAAACTTCACACATAGTTTCATGTGAAACTACACTGCTACACACCAAAACAATGGAAGATAAGTCAGTAGTTAACAAATAACAAAGTAGTTATTTGTTAGTTATTGGGGAGATTTGTTGTGATCAAAATGGGACGCAGTCTTTTATTTATATTTCACTTAAACAATCTGCTTCATGTTAATTATGTTTCTTATTAAATGTGGTCAGCAGATTGATCTTTCGTTTTCCACAGGATAAAAAATTATGTAACGTTAATAAGCTCTGGCAAATGTCACCGCCAGCACCGGTAATATTAGACAAAAGTAAATTGTTTAGCGATCAAATTTTCTGATACAGAAATATGGAAAAGCAAGCTAAAATGTATTAAGTGATGCATTAAATGTAATTGAAGTACAAAAATAATTCCATCTGCTCAATTTTGCTCCGCGACATCTCTTCTTCCACACTGCGATGTAACTTCCAAGTTTTAGCGGTGGTGCTTGTGGTCAATCACCAGGGTAAAGCAGTAAGCATCTCCCCAGTAGTGCGTGTTTGAACGAAAAGTACCAAGCCTGGAATAGGTACTGAAAAAGGGTTCTGGAACTGCCTACAATTGGGTCGACTTCCTGTGGTGTGAACACGAGAAAAGTTCCTGGTTCCGGAAAAACGTTCTGGTTCAGGAAAAAAGTTCTGGTGGTGTGAAAGTGCCTATTATTCCACCAGAATTCAAACACTAGGAACCTGGTGAGATTTGAGTATTTGAGTACTCACTCATAACTCGTCGGGTCCAGCTCCATTTGTAGTGCACAAATAAGAAGTAAAAGATCAGACCACTAAAAATGAAGATGGCACAGTACAGGTACTCCAGCTCAGGCTGCTCGATGATGGGAGCAAGAACCAAGTAGCAAGACACAAGGAAGACCACTGCTGCAAGAAGAATGGGTACCTGTGCACAGTGCAAGAACAACAAGAACTTTAACCCATGTCTGATTCAGGTAATGCCATTAAAGTGTCTCGCATCAATGAAAAACATGCTTCTGGTGGTGTTTGTTCTACAAATATGTCAGAACCACTTCTGGAACTCCCAATGTTGATAGTAATTTATTGCATATTATGTATTAGGCACTACAGTCTGCAAGAAGCATGAATACGATAATTTACTTGTATTATGTACATGACACAAAAAAAAAACCTAGAAACTTTCTGTTTAAATGGGTCATTTTTCCCAGTAGCGGTTTAATGACATGCAAGACTGGGAGACACTGCACATTTCCTCCTGCCAGACTTGCCTTGACTGGTCTTCTGAGTTCCTTCCTGGTGAAGCGCATGACAATAAGGGCCAGAACCGTTAGACCATAGAAGGTCCACTGGGCGAAGCTGAAGTAGTTGATGAGCATATTAATGTCCGCAGGCATGATGTAAATTATGGACAGGATGCCCTGGAAGATTGACAACAGCATGCTTAGTAATTGTGGTTTAAAACTTAACTGGGGCCTCGTGATCAACCTGGATCAATGAAGACCTCCCCTGTAATTACCACATTTTTTTTTTAATCTAACCAGGTCTTTGACTGTACCAGGAACTAATCTACCATTATTTTCAACAACTTGGGTCTCAATGCATACCTAATCAAGGATCTTTTTTCTCTACCAGGGTCAAGTTGGTGTGATCACATTGAAAGAACAATAAAAAATAGATACCAAGGCAGGTTGGAAGGGAGAACTCACATTAAATATGATGGCGGGAGATGGTGTGCAGTGCCTTAGACTGATGTATGACAGGATCTTGACCATGTGACCTTCACGTCCTGCCACATAGGTCAACCTATACAATGAGATAGCAGGTTGTGAACATTCTCGACCTTGAGTGCATCACATATTGTTCTTGGTCAACCAGATCTAGTCCGCGATTAATCATTACCTCTATCCATGGTAACATCTCTTACCTGCCAGCGGTAAAGCAGCTGCCATTGGCAGCCCCAAAGGTGGAAAAGACCACAAAAAGGGGGACCACCCAGGACACTGGGTAGAGGACCCGATCACCGAACGTCTATGCGCCACAGAAGAAGGCATAAGATGGGACAAGAGTAGAACAGCTTGATTACAGGTACATGATAGACTTTCAAGCACACAAAGATAAGCCTCACAGCTAGTAGCTGTTAATTTGTGGTTATGTACACAAAGGCCTTATCCCTAAGCCTTACCACAGCGACTGCTGGGGACTGCAGCAGTTCTATAGGAGTCATGGCAGTGAAATATGCAATGTTAACAAGGATGTAACAGACAGACACCAGCGGTATCCCAATGATGATGGCCAGGGGTAAGTTTCTTGCAGTACAAGAGAGAAATAATATTCTTTAGTACCATGCAAACTTATAACAGGATGTTGCGGTCAGTCACATTTATGCATGTATTTTTAAATTATGTAATTTGACTGTAAACCTTACCTGTATGGGTTTTTAAGCTCCTCTGTAATAAAGTTGAGCTGATTCCTGTAGAATAAAATGATTCTTGCAGAAACATGTATTTAAAGGCACAATGACAACATAGATAATGTAAAAAATAGAACTGGCACCTGTTGCTCTTATTGTTTTATTCATTGACATTGTTTACAGCAAGTAACTGCTTTGTATGGGAAACATTTTTATTACCTTATCATTATTTTTCTATATCATCGTTGTCCAAAAGAAATCATGTGTCACCAAAATTCCATTATTTCAGGAACATGAAAAAATACATTTTCTCACAGTCTATGTTAGAAAATGAACTTAAAGCAAAGTAATGAGACAGCCTTCGCGCCCCAAATAGAAACCGATCTTTACACAGCTGTCAGTGAACAGTGTAACGATTTGAATGGACTTACATGGATTGTTGTCGATGAAGCAAATACTATATGTCATTGTCAAAAAGATACATACTAATCTCGCTATATATTCACAATTATATTTTAGTCAGCTATATAGCTATCAATATTAAGTTGTTTAAATAAGTATGAATAGTTCAGTAACACTTCACTTGAGGGGGCACAAGTAACATACCTGTAGTATCCACTATTGAGTACTACTCAAGTAAAAATGATGAACAAACATAGTAATGATGAACGAACATGATATCAGTACATAACTACCAGTTTATGGTTAATTAATTCATTAAGTAAGAGTGTACTACTACATTATTTGTGCCCCCTCAAGTAAAGTGTTATCAAATAATCCATAAAAATGACCATCATGAATGCAAAGGTTAACAAGTACTAACATATATACTAGTTTCATAGAACATTGCTTCATTGGCCAAACATTATCAGTAGTCAGAGGGTAATGGCCATATTCCATCTATAGTAAAAGGTTACAAAAAGTGGACATACGCGGTTTTCATCAGACAGTGATGATATCCTGGTTGAATTGCTGTCTCATATAATTTGATTACAGAAACTGATTATGACTGTTAAATAGTGTTATCGACTGTGACTATGGGACATTAGAAGAGGGTGGACGCTTCCAGGATTCATTGGCCTCAGTGGGTTTTACGATGTCTTCACATTATTTGCAAATATTCAGCTGAAACTCTAAATGGTATCTCAATGTTTCCCAACCCGGTCCTTGGGGACCCCCCCTGCTGGGAATTGGGAGGGAGCAAAAATATGGACTGTCTGGGGTCCCCGAAGACCCGGGTTGGGAAACATTGCTCTAAGCAACGGTCATGACTTTTGATAAAAATGTATGATGAAACTATGATGAAAGCTTACCAGCCATCATAGGCCCACAGGCCGTTGTAGAACGCCAAACCAATGGTGCCGAATGAGGGGGATGCACCTTCAAAGGCATTCGTCAGATTTTCTGTATTTCCTGCAACAAGAAACGATTGAAGTAAGACAGTCTCAGTCACCTGGGAATATCAGCTCCATTAAAAGATCTTAGGGATGTTCTATGTCATGCCAGTTGTCTTAGGTCACAGACATAGCATATTAGAATAACAGCCAAAAGAGAAATCTTAGATCTGAAACAAAACCACTCCTGTGACTCATGAGCAGAGGTGGAGATTTCAGGTCCAGAGAGTACAAATCCAGTCCAAGATTTTGTTTGAAGTTGAGCATAAAGAGTCACAGTCACAGAGTACTCAACTGGTTGGTTGAAACAAAATCTTGGACTGGATTTGTACTCTCTGGACCTGAAATCTCCACCAGACAGATACAAGGACATAAATCTCATTATCCAGCACAAAGGGTACCTTGTGCAAGCAGCACCATCCCAGCTATCACGATGATCAGGATGATGAGGAGCTTCGCTACTGTGAAGAAGATCTGCACATAGCTAGCCAGCTTGACGCTCAGACTGTTTACCAAGGTGATCAGCACTGGGGAGGAAATCCAAGTAAAGAGCATGCAATAGAGTATAGGTCTGTCATACACACAGACATTGTACATACAGTATATTGCATACTGTAGCTGTCCTACAGTATCAGTGAAGTGTGTATACAGTGTAACTTGACATTTAATAACAAAGGTTTGTTTCTTGAACTGAGTCAAGTTCATTTCCTAGAGAAGCAGCAGCAATCTTTCGCATTTCCATGGCAACTGCTCACCAGTGCCGTGCTCTTCAGTTAACAAATCCAAGCTGTAGTTTGCCTCTCACAAAGGGACATTGACCTTCTATCACGTGTAACTGTTTTCCTGTAATAAAGTCATTTGTTCGGCTCGGTCCACCCTTCCAGAGCCTCTGTCACCATTCACAGCACAACCTAGTGTTTGTAGGCTTATAGAAAACAGTGGTTCATTGTTCACTCTAATTACTGGAAATGAAACTAACTGAACACCGTTATGTCTGATTATTCATCTTACAACCTCTTATCTAGTCCAGGATATGATGACCCTGAAATCTATCCTAGCAAGCAGAGAGCACCAAGGCAGGAGAGATCCACAGATGGGAAAGACACACTAAAAGCCTTTCAGAGACACCATTTCATCTTTCTTTAGACTGGAGGAGTCCAGAAAGGAAACAGGAGCAACACTGGTTGAAAAAGACAAACAAAAACACATCGAGAACAAGGTGAGGATTCAAGCCTGCAGCTTGTGTGCTGGTGACTAAGGCATAATGCCAACTCAATTAATTATTCCAATTATTCCATATCTATTTCTGAGATCTTTTGGTGACACACAGTGATGTATGTCTTCGCATGATATTATAGTACGCCATTGAAGGAGTGAGAGGATCCAAAGGCACCAGTGTAATTTCAGTCTCTGTGAGTGTATCTTTGGCAGATTGCCTACAGTAAGGCATCATATAAACATATAAAACATTTAAACATTTAAATTAAATGAGTAGGACAATTAATATTATATGTTAAGTATAGTATAGTATTCCATAGTATAGTATAGTATAGTATAGTACAGTACAGTATAGTATAGTAACCACATTACCACACCATTAAAGTGTGATTACTACAGTGTGTGATGAAGGTTCAAATCATGTCAAAGCTGTAGTTTGCTAACCTGCTGACAATCAGTAACCCTCTGCACTTACTTAACAACCCACTTCTACTGGCGTCTAAGATTTATCGCAGCAGACTAAACAGGGACAGAAGACAATATACAACACCTGGAAATCCCCATCAATTACTGTCACTGTCTGCTACGTTTGGTATTTACACCCATGAATAATTAAAACACTTCTGTGCAGGATCTGCTTGGAGGTAAACAATCACAGAGCAAAGTATGCACACCCTTTGTACATTTGTTTTTTTCCAAAGCAACCACAAACAAACAAGCAATTCAAATTAAATGTACCATGAACTGAAGCATCAATCTTTCTTCAATAAATGATGTTCAGCCAGTATCCTGTGATTTATGTTTCCTACAGTTTCTCCTGGATTCACTTACAAATGCTGGCAGCTGCCTGACACTTTATAATGACTGCTGGCGGGGGGCATCCTGGGTAGAAGGGCACGGCGGCGTACTCGGCGAAGCTGAGCGCGATGATGGCAAAGGATGAAGGCTTCAGGACTATCACTGTGGTCCACGAGTAGAGGAAGGCCACAAGTGAGCCAAAGCCCTCCATTAAATATGGATATTCCCCCCCAGACTTGGTGATCATAGTTCCGAGTTCTGCGTAGCACAGAGCACCTGAGAAGCGGAAGACACAAACACAAACATACATACATGACCCAGTTAATCCACCGAACACTACGCACTTGGGTTTAGCAATCTGAAAGCATATTTGAAGCATTAACGTCTAAGTGATCCAGCACAAATCTTATGGGGCTCATTCTTATGTTCATTATTCACTTAGAGAAATGAGTGGCGATCTGTGGTCATTCATAAGGTGGCGTGATATCTACTGGTATCTGCGTTGGTACAGAGACATGCTGAAGGGTTTGTTTTTTTAGGGCTGCTGTGTGTGTGGTTGAGCCCGGTTTACTCACCAAGTGTTGCCAGAACTCCACAGGCAGCCCATACGGAGAGGCACGGCCCAACGGCACCCGTGCCGGACAGCACTGCCTTCGGGGAGATGAAGATCCCTGAGCCTATCATTGTCCCGACGATGAGGCATATCCCACTGAACAGCCCCACCTGTCACACAAAGGCATGGCTTTATTTAAACTCCCAGTGAATTGACTCAATCTCTCTATACCAGTAACCAAAAAGTTAGCAATATTGTTAGCTTGTCTCAAATAAAGCTCCAGAAATTATTCTTGTAGAGCACTTTCACTCATACCAATGCCAAAAACATAAGAAATAATCAGCAATAATCAGGTATGAAGATCTTCCATCCAGAGCCATTCAGGCTGTCTGTATGGGCACCCTGTGGGCCGGGTTGCCTCCTCGGAATTCCAGGTATGAAGATCTTCCATCCAGAGCCATTCAGGCTGTCTGTATGGGCACCCTGTGGGCCGGGTTGCCTCCTCGGAATTCCAGGCTTTTTGGTTCAAATTTGATCCCAGCTCTGAGTACACAGCCTACATCATGTCCGCATGTATTTGTTGGTTTATCCCATGTACTTTGGAATTATTGCAACATCAATAGTGTAGTAAATTTAAATGCCACCTCATTCAGTATGCAATCCACAATAAATCTTTACTGGAATATGCACTGGTTAATTGAAAGCATGGATGCAGCCATAGAGGGTTTTATACTTCTCTCTTGTTTGCATGAGTAAATAAACAAAAAAACTTAATTGGAACTTCAAAGGAACTATCTCTTGGTTCAGTTTTTGGACATTACAGAGTTACCAATTCTCTCTCTCTGTTTCATACACATTCACAGGATGCTTGAGAATAATTACTTAGGAAAGGACCTGCCACAGATCCTCATTTTAATGTAACTAACTCCTAAAAAAGTGTTGGCACTTTAAAAGTGATGTTTCCTGCCCTCCATCCATTCATTTCTATGGGAAAAACCAAAATCCAAAAATGATGACTTTAACCCTTTAACCCCTACCCAGCCCAAACCTTAACCATAAGTAACCAAACAAATTACAAGACTTTTGGCAGTTCTAGTTGTTTGATTGCATTCACAGATCTTTATGAAATTGAATCTGCCCTTTATAGGAACCGGAAAACACTTGGTCCCCACAATGTAATGTATATCAGACCCCTCCCCCCCCCACAAACACACACACACACCCACACACACAAACAAGCTCTCATCCCCACCTAAACACTCACATCCTTCTGTAGAGCTGCAGCCTTCACTTGATCCCCCCCGTATTGAGCCTGGGCGGGCCCATCTGGGTCCGTGCTGCTGTTGGGAGTTTCCCTGGTCCTCTTGGTAGTGTCACTCATATTTCCCTGATGGTCTCCTCACTAAAATGGAGGGACGTAACATGAGGGACGTTTCTGCACTCTCAGGAGCTCCAGGGATATCAGTAGCCAGAGCCACATGGAAGGTTTTCGCCCTGTAACCATTTATGTATGATTTAACCCAGATCTCTAGTCACTTTAAATACTGATATACTTTACATCTCAAAACAAACATGACGAGACACTTTATTACTAAGAGTTTAATTAGTTATTATTTATTTAACTGTTTGCAGCAACATAGTTATATAATTTTCTAGTGATAAATTCAAGTGATGGTCTGCCTGGGTAATTTAATACCCTGTGGATCCACAGATTTGTGTCTGTACGTCCTGAAGCGAAATGCTGGTGACTATAGCTGTCTCTCCTGTCCCATTTTGTGGGGCCCTCTTCCCACCTCTCTCTTGTGATCAACAGCTGGCAGGAAGCACTGCTTTGAAATATGTAAACATTTAAAGAGTCCTGAGCACAAGACTAAAACTGACTATCTGTGAAGCTGCTAATTTCATTCCTGAGCATATTCTTTTTCCAACAGAAATCCACGCTCCCCCATTAATTTCACAATTGGTTACTTACGCAGTTGGGATCACGTCGACCCCGTGCCTATCCCAAGATGTGTCAGTATGCTGTGCTGCAGAAGAGCTGCTTCCATTCCAGCAACCAGCCAAACAACGGAATTAATAATCAACCCTGCTCGTAACTCAAGTGGGTTAACAATTGATCTTTCACACATTTTATGGAAATTACTGCTGCGCTCAAAAGTATTTCTTAAGCTGTAGTAAACAGCCATTTCTTATCACATGACTATATTTTAGATACGGTGTTTTTGTTTTGACCTCTTCAGATGCAGTAGCCCTACTTTTGTATTTACAGTAAAATAACAAAACAATCACTACAGAAGTACAATTATACTAGTTATTATATCAAAAAAGAGCAAGCACAACACTCAAAAATTGTTAAATCCGTTGAAATTGTAAAATACTATCAAATATCTGAATTCTTGTTATGCTACAATATTGATGTCCATAATTAATATCCAAGCTCTTAACGGGTCTACAAATTGAAGCCTAATTAATCAATACCTTCCATGAATATATGTTAAATTTATCTCCTGTGCATTCAAACGTAAATGTTTTATATAAAATAAATCACTGCTTTGTAATACAATTTGCTGTTGATCATTTATCTATGGTTTATTGAAGAGTAAGATAGTTGACAGTACTGAGATGCTATGGAATATTATTTAGCACTATACAACGTAGAATATAATCATTATGATATTATGAAAAAGCATGCCAAATACCCATGATGTAATCATTACAATGTAATCAGTATAATGTAATCAACACAATGTAATCAATTGAGTATATTTGCACCTCGTGTTAGCCTAAGAGTTTCTGTTAGCTACTTTATGTTAGCCCTGAATGTATGAATATCCACCTTTATTAGTATTATACCTTATCACTACGTTGAAGGACAAATATATTATCAACCCTCTAGTTAGCCAATGTGCAACAAGCTGAAGCTGCAAAGTTTTGCTACTGAAGGAAGGGATTCATCTGAGTTCACCAAAAGTTCATGGCTGAGTATTTTAAAAAAACCAAGTGGAGATGGGTCGCACCACCATTATGTTTGGTCGAGGGACCAAACAGTAAAAGAAATGATTGACAAACTTATCACCTAGGGTTGTGGATTAAGGGAAAAAACAATGATTGTGAATGGTTGAAGGAATGATGATGCTCAAGTGACGAGATATTGTTAAATGATAAGAACTTGTATAAAAATTGGTGTAAAACAGTATTGGACACACTTGCAAGTGTCTGGCCTTGGTTGTAACCTCATTGTTGCAATAAAGACTGAATTTGGATCTACACAAGCAGCTTCTGACTTCTGATGTGTCTGCCTGAGGGTCACTCTAGTTACCTACACAGGATTGTGAATTATCAGGTATGTGCCTAACCAAGATGTATATTGCAGCAGAGGAGTAGGTATACTGTCAGGACCTCGGGGCACGGTACAAGCAGAAAAGGAAGGTGACAATCCACTTGCGGCGCCACAAGACAGCAGGGGTTTTATTACAGGGACTGAGAACACTGGAAACACTACAAACACACGAGGGGTCAAAATTATAAAGGGGTACAAAGTAAACTAATAGAACCAAAAAGACCTACAAGGGGGAATCTGGTAACACAGAGAACAAGCAGGGAAGCAAACATAGAACACAGCAAATCAGAATAATCACCATCAGGGAAGCAAACATAGAACACAGCAAATCAGAATAATCATCATCAGGGAAGCAAACATAAAACACAGCAAATCAGAACAATCATCATTAGGGAAGCAAACATAGAACACAGCAAATCAGAACAATCATCATTAGGGAAGCAAACATAGAACACAGCAAATCAGAATAATCATCATTAGGGAATCAGGAAAACACAGACAATAACTCCACAGGGAATAGAGCAGAATCTTAAATACAGAGGGTTAGCAAGATAACGCAGGACAGGTGAGATGATCCTGCTCACGAAAGGCTTGGACAGTCGTGTGATGACATTGACACTAAACTGTCAGCGTGACATTTTTTCCAGACATTACTTCTACCTAAATATTACTCTGCTCCCTCTGGCTATCAGAATTGCCCTGTTCTCATGTGTAAGAGCCATAATTTGAGAAACGTAAAGGTCTCCATTATGGATAATTCATGAATTGTCTGTGTGTGTGTGTGTCTGTGTGTTTCACATTTCTTTATATTCACAGTATTACTGAACTTATGTTCTAATGTTATTTTCATCAAGAAATATATCATACTTTAAGATAAAACAAGATCTAATCCTGGGTATGTTTTTTTCATAACAATAAGTAAACATAATGGATCCATAATGGATCCTGGTAATAAAACAGCCAGACAGTGTGCTTGACTTTCAGTCTGCTTATCACATAAGGATTTGCTCGTATGCCCATCGATGCCGCTCTCCCCCAACCCCCGTTAATGGCCCCATCCTCATGGCCTGTCTAAAGCACGCTATATCTCTCATAATTATAAGCTGTTAAAATGACCCCCTCAAATGTGTAACATATCCCAGCAATGACCTGAGGTACCACTCTGTTAAGCACAGTATGATTATCTGACATCAGCTTCAACCAGCCTCAACCATTATATTTTGAAGATAACCTTATTCTTAGGTCTATTGCAAGACAAGATACAATTTAAGGCTTAAAATTCCATTCCATACATCTAACCATAAAAGCCATAAATCTCCGATGGCAGGGCTTCTCAATGTCAACAGGTTCACCACATCACATGTATACATTTATACATTAACACACACTGCTGTATCATCCAAAGTGGTTCACAGTTAAGCGGCCAAGGTGAAGATCCACCAAAGAAAAACTTTACCTGGCCGGAACGTCCTCCGCAGAGACACCCAGCACACGTCTCAGATGTGTCCTGCTGTGCTGCTGAGCGGCGGGTCTCTAACCCCTCAGAGGTAGACATACCAAAGGTGCTCTGAAAGAGGCTGCTCTGCTATTGGAGAGTGGGTGTGGGTGGAACCCCACCAGAGACAAGTGGACACAACTCACCCACACAATAGGCCTTTGTCGGGGATATCTGACACCTTCTGTAGCGGGCGACCCAGATAAATCAGGGGTAAGGGAGGTACTCTGCCGCAGTTACCAGAGTAGGTAGATAGAGATCTCGACATGTCTGAGAATTCATCGCAGTGCCCCCCCAATCAGATCCCTGAGTGGCACGCCCCACTGGCAGTGTTGATTCTCCTCCAGTGTTACAACATTCTGCATGGCCAATCCAAACATGGCGCTTTCTTGCTCTTTATCTATAATCAAGAGACAGCTGGGCTCTAATATTACAGTTTTTCTCGATTGCTAAAACACTATAACCAATCTTTTGAACTAAAATTTCAAAACCATAATGCTATTTTTCAAAAAGCACACCCATTTCCCTGAACTATAAACACTATTCCCCTGCTTTAACACATGAGTCAAATTTGGTGAACTGTTACTGCAAAACTCTACACACAAATGTCTAAATTTTTCAGTGCTTACACCATGTGGTCATTTAGAAAGCACTAGCATTCAATAATGTTAACTTAAGTCAGCAGAGTTTAAGCTCAG